ATCTCACTTCACTCGCATATCATATGATTTAAATTCAAAATCTTTTATTTCAGCAAAAAAAAATAATCACTGAATTATTTAAGTGTTAATAATATTAAAATGTGTATCAATTTTTATAATTTTTAATGTGAATTAATTATAAAAAATATATTTATTACATCTTTAACTTATGTCTAATATAAGGTTTATTGGTTTCAAATAAGACAGTCTTTTAATCATTAAATTACATGCTGTATTGGGTTCAAAATATAAAGTCTTTAATTTTTTTCATGTATTATATAAATAACAATGCAAAACCGTTAAGCTTGTCGCTCAAATAAGAGGGTAGAGACAGATTTTTTTTTTAATTATTGATTAAAATAAATTATTTATTATTTAATATGTAATATTATCTGATATCAATTTTTTGTTAAAAGCTACTTAAGTGATAATCAGATTTTTGATGTGTGATAATGTTACGCATTAAATAATGAATAATATGTCATGATCAAATAATTTAGAATATCAATTAATTTCTTTTTTGAAAGGTAAATTTATCATTTCCCTTCTATTTGATGAGCAAATTTGAGAGTTCTATCCATGATAGTTAATTTTTTTTATCAAATAAAACTATTTAACAAAAATTATGTGTAAAAAAATCTCAATTATATCATTCATGTATATTATAATAAAGTATTAACTAAATTTACATATCAAACGGGTTTAAATTTTGAAACAAAGTAAGTAAAAAAAAAAATTGACTTTAATTTTATCAACTAATTGTTTAAATTAATATAGGTGATATTTATGCTAAATCTTATATTAATTTTTTAGTTTTTTTAATGTATATACTCTTAGATTACAAATTAAGAGTATAATTATTACACTATTTTTATATTAATTAATATTAAAAATAAGTTAATATTTATTTAAATAATTATTTAACTAAAATTATTTGCTTGCCATTAGTGATGAAATTAATAATAATTTATATATTTTTTAATGATTTAATTAAGGATGAAGCTAGCATCTAGATTTCACAATACAACAATTATAAATCGAATTGTAAATTACGTTTACAACGCAAGGTAGAAGTTTGAATCTCTTTCTCGGATGTAAACCCATTCAAAAATGAAAAAACCGAAGCCAGCAAAGGACAAGGGGCAGCTACCCCCTTAACTTTTGAAAAATGTTAAAAATGGTACAAATATTTTTGTTCTTTTACAAAATTTTATTTTTGAAGTTTGAATTATAATGACTATTCAAATATATAAAAAAAAAACATTTATGAATTGGGCAAAGGGATCATTTGTCACTAATTTTTATAAAGACACAATATATAATTCTATCTAAATAAGAACAAGTATAAAAAAAATATTTTAGATCGAGTTATATTAAACAAAATATAACTTAAATAAGTCATTATATTAGTTATGTATAATTTTTATTTGTATAATTAATATTCTTTTAAACTAATAGTTGAATTCTTGTAAATGTGTTTCCAATTTAAAATTAATTTGATATACATAACCTTACAAAGAAAATAAGTTAGATTTTATACTATTTATTTAAAGGTTTTAAATTTTATGTTATTCAAAAATAATTAAATATATTTAATTAATTTAAAATATGAGGTAAATAATGTAAGTGGTGCATGAATAAAATTAATAATTGATGTAAAAATTAATATAAATTGTACAATATAAAATCTATATTCCAAGGGCAGCAATGTTATAGCAAGAATGTTAGATAAGATTATATTTAAATGAATAAATATATATAATATTATTAAATATAAGATAGATATAATATTATAGTTATAATGTTATAATTACAATTCTTTATAGCATTAAATGAATATAATATAAACGGTCCGTTCTGACCCAATGACATTGGATCTTGGGTTAAGGCTATTTATTTCCGGTAGATTGCACGTTCAAATCCCACGAAAACCCTTTCCCTTCTCCCTCAATTAACCCTGTAAATAATTACAAATTATTCAAAAAAAAAGAGAATATAATATAATATAATATTAAATAAATTATGAATACTATATGAAAACATTTTTAAATAAATAAATAAAATTAATTATATAACAACAATTAAAATTTTAAAAAAATATATATTAGTTTTACCTCGTAAAATAAATTAAAATTTAAAATTTAAATTATTTCATTTTATTTAATTAAATTTTTTTCAAAAATTTAAAATTTATTTTATTAAATAGTAATATTTAAATTTAAAAATTAATTATATTAAAATATATAATTAGATTTTAAATTTAAATATTATATTTAATAAAATAAATTTTAAAATTAAAAATTTTAATTTTAATTTTTAAATATATAAAAAAATTATAATATTAAAAATATCAAAATATTTAAAAATAACTATATAATAAATTTAATAAATTTAAAATACATATTATATTTTACACATTTAATATTTATACTTAAATATCTTAATATTTTAAATATCAAAATATCATATTTTTTCTTTGTCCACAACATTTTTAATTATAAAAACCAATTGCCGTGCCCATAAAACATAGAGCTGAACACCTGTCAGTCCGTCATAGGATTCAACCTATCACGTTGCATGTTGTTTGACTATCTTATCTGACCACATTTATTTCACTGATTGGACTTTACCACTTTGACATTTATTTCATATTCCACTATTTCCTTTTTTCTATTTAATTCTTTTTTTATTTTTATTTTTAATTTCTGTTTTCAGGATCAAAACAAACTAACCAAAACCCCTACTCTTTAATGCTGTCCTCTCTGAATTCAAACTGAATCACCCAGCAAACCCTACTCCCTGTCCCATCTCTGCACTGTTCTGTGCTTACATTTTCTCTTCTTTCCTTTTCCCTCTGGACAAACAAAAATAAATGCTGGGTGTGTGAGAGTTATTGCATGGTGTGTTCGTACTCTGCAGTCTGCCCTACATAGACACCCCCCATTTACTCCTCTTTTCTTTTCTCTCTACAGTCTACACTATAAGATGAATCCATTATTAAGGCTCTTGCTATCAAGTGCTGTCTCTCTCACTACTTCTGTGCAGCACAAAACCTCAAAATAGGAACCCTTCATTTACTTCCTTCTCTTGCTCACAAGCTTTTGCTTTTGCTCTCAATGATATGGTTCAAGTTTGTGGTGTATTAGTAGTAATAATTCATTGAAACCTAGCGATTCTTCTTTTTCTTTGCACCTGTGTTTATTGTTTATTTAATGATGGGTCACTTTATGATTCGATAAGATCAAAAACTTGCATTTAAAGCATCGTTTGTCTATTGCTCTGTTCCGGTGCCGGTGTTCATAATTTGCTTGCTTGACGGTTCAAGGGAGCTTTAAAGCTAAAAGGGTGCGTTTGTGTTTGTGGGTGAATATTAATAGAGGAGAAAGACATGGGGAGGATACCCTGTTGTGATAAGAAGGGGTTGAAGAAAGGACCATGGGCTCCTGAGGAAGATGAGCTCCTTGTAAATTACATCAACAAAAATGGCCATGGAAGCTGGAGGTCTCTCCCCAAGCTTGCAGGTTTTGCTCTTCCTCCTCCTCCTCTTCTTGCCTTAGATCTGTAATTCTTCTGTTCTGCTCTTTTGTGTTTGATTTGATATAACTGTTTTGATGAATGTTCCTTTTGAGATCAACCATAATAATGAGCTAGATACACAAAAGATTTTGTCTTTGTCCATAATTTTGGTGATTTATTTGTATTCTTTCTCCGGTTAATCCAAAAGGGCTTTGCTTGAAACTCAAAACAAAACAATCTGTTGATGTTGCTATTGGTTTATGTATATTTGCTCTGTGTTTGTGTAAGGAATCCGTGCGTAAACATCCTAGAATTCTCTCTTTCATTTCAGGTCTTCTTCGCTGCGGCAAGAGTTGCCGGCTCCGGTGGACTAATTATCTCCGGCCAGACATTAAAAGAGGTCCCTTTACTCTTGAGGAAGAGAAGCTTGTCATACAGCTTCATGGCATTCTTGGAAACAGGTATATGTCTTCTCTGCAACTACAATTCTCAGAATGCTTTCAGAAAGACTAGGAATTTCCTTTGAATCTTGTGGATCAATGGTTGACAGGTGGGCTGCCATTGCTTCTCAGTTACCGGGAAGAACAGATAATGAGATAAAGAACTTGTGGAACACCCACCTGAAGAAGCGCTTGGTTTGCATGGGTCTTGACCCTCAAACTCACGAGCCCTTCACCTCCTGCGGACCAACCACCACTGCACCTGCATCTCCGACCACTCGCCACATGGCTCAGTGGGAGAGTGCAAGGCTGGAAGCCGAGGCTCGGCTTTCAAGGGAGTCACTCCTCTTCAATCTACCACTTCAGGGGAAAAACACGGAATCTGATTATTTTCTTCGTCTGTGGAATTCCGAAGTGGGAGAATCGTTTCGGAAGCTGAACACAGAACAGAAAGCTGGATATGAGGGGAGCCCTCTTTCCCAAGCTTCTTCTTCCACAAAATGTGGGTCAATGTCAGCTGTCACCATGGACATTTGCCTGAAGTCAAGCAACCAAAACGATGAAACAGAGTGCAAGAGCTCCAAATCATGCACTGAGGATGCCATTGCCGGGTCAGATTCATCTAGTTCCAGTGAATTGGATGATTCACCAGACACAGCTTTACAACTGCTCCTGGATTTCCCCATTAACAATGACATGAGTTTCCTGGAAAATTTCGACAACTATGGTGCTCCCACTTCTGCAATGTTTGACTGAAATTTGCCCTGGCCTCTGAAGCTTCCTTCAAAGAAGATGAATTATGTAATGAAATCCTGTGTAGCTTCAATTTTGAAGGCCTAGAATTAGGATTCAAGTAGTCAGAGGAGGTGTTGATGCCAACATCCTAGGCAGTTTATTATATTATTTTGTTATATATGTATCATATATATGATAGACTTGATTAATTCCTTATGAAATCTAGATTTGCATATTCCATGATCACAGAGGTCCATGAGATCACATCCATTCTCTTAAAATACTTCAAAAGCATAATCTTATTCTCCCTTGTTTAGCATGTGTAATGACAAGAGGAAACCAATTTTACAAGAACAAGAGCACAAACACTGTAGAGAAGCATCCACAACCGAAGAATAGAATCATTCAAGTTTTCAATAAACATCTGCCAACAATGCAGTCTGGTTTAAACAAAGACAAGGACAAAAACAAACAAGAAAAATGTACAGATGAAAAGTGGGAGTTATAAACAGGAAAACTATGCCAGATGAAAGTGAAACACTCAGCTCAGACTGCATTTGACCCCCTATCAGGCCAGGAACTTGATGAATTCAGAAGCACCAAAGGAGCTTCTTCGGAGTTTGTCCAGTGGCTCGGTATTTTGCAGCCATCTCCTCTGCCTTCAGAAATTCTTCTCCACGCCTGGCTTCAACCATTGCCTTCTTTTCTTCTGCATCCTTGTGAATTAAAGCAATTTTGTTTTTCATTTTTTCTGCGTACTCTGCTTTCTTCTTCTCCAATTGTTCCTGTCAGTTCTTGATTGTGTTAGAATTAAAATCAAAGGGTCCCCTGTTTTGCAATTAGGACTATATATCATACTGCAAAACATGGACTCTTGGATGAGGGAAGAAGACTCAATATTAGGACCCCTCCCCCAATCCAAGGGCAACTATTTTGCAATCTGTTATAGTCTAAATTGTAAAACAGTTTTTCGTAAATCAAAACCATAATATATCCCAGCTAATTTCTCAAGGGTAAGCATCCTGATTGTTCCAACATTTAACTCTAATTTTCTAAGCACCACATAACACCCGGTCCAAGTGGGTGTTACCTCAGTTTTTCTTAGTTTGGCTTCCAGAGCTGCTTTCTTGCTGTTCTCCCATGCCGCAACAGCAGAGAGTTTCTTCTGGGCCCTGCTCAAAAGTTTCAGTAAAGTTGACAGAGGTTCCATACTCCATATTAAACGTTATCATCTATATAAGGTTATATATGTGAGATTCATATAAAAAAGCCTGTACTCCATTTTTTTGGGCAAGACAAGGCTGCAAGAGTAGTGTAAATGAAAAAGGCCTCAAAGAAATCCTCACTTATTCTCTGCTTTGGTCTTTTCACTTTCTTCCCATGCCTTGATAAAAGACAACCTCTTTTCCTTCTCAACCTCAGCAAGAGCAACATCTGAAAACCCAAAAAAAAAACAAAAGGAAGAAGAGGAGATTAATTGAATCCTTTAGTTATTCAGAGGCCAAGGGCTTTGTTTAAATAGCATTCATTCCAAACACCCTAATTGGCTTACCAGTCCACCCCATGCACACAAAAGAACTTTAGATGCTACAGGAACAGCATGTCACGGTATTAACAGCAGATAAACAGAATAATGAAAAAAAACGTGTTTAGTATATAACAGAGACAAACCAGACATACAAGATCTATAAAAAAGCTGAAAAAAATCCCAGTGGGCTCATTTCATAAATTCATATGCTATGTTAAGCAGAAAACATTTATTGAATCTCCAAGGAGCATAATGTCTGGTCATTCTCAACATTTACCATGGAACAAGAGACAATAAATGTGAGGATCAGAGAAGCATTGCCAATACTTACCCCTGTCATGTGATCCCCCAGAAATTTTCTTTGGTTCAGACTCCGTAGCTTCTGTCCGAGAAGATAAATTATTAATTAGGATTAACGGAGGAAAAATTATAACCAAAATGTGCATGAAGCAATGATAAAATAAGACACTAAATCAAAGTTCATTACTATGTTACAGACAGTGAATGTCAGTGCAAAAGAAAACTTAGGATCCGCATCAGGCACAAGGATGGGAATAGGAAACAGATAGGTAAGAAAATTATGCCCAACTTTATGAAATCAATCAGTGTACTATGGTAAGAAAAGTATATATGCCTAGCAGAACACCATTTGTCATACAGATTGATGCACATAAACATCATATTTACCCTCATACATACCATAACTGTGACCTAATGATTCATCGAGGAAATTCTAAGTCATTTCCATCAAACTAAACAGTAAGCACAGAATGTTTTTGACGTTATTCAACCTATGGGAGACAGGGAATAAGACAATGTGTATCGTTCCCGGGACAGAATATCTACTACAGCATCAATTAAAGCATCATTTTCCCCACTTTATTGACCCATAAATTAATAGACTGATATAACTTAAGTGACACAGGGACCCCATACCATTCATTAATCAGGTGTGATCACCATAATGGTAAGGAAAAATTATGCCAAAAAGCAGATCTTAGAGAATTCAATTTACATTCTTTAATCTGAGTAAGTGATCTACTGAAACTTTTTTGATTTAAGAGATGAAGGGTATAAACCAAATTTAAAGTTAATGCAACAAAGTATCTCCCATGCATGGTGTAACTAGAGTAGGATGATGAAATGCAAAAACCAACTGAATGATTTGGCCAAAGCAGCAGCTCCTAAAGTAATGACAAAGCCAGAAAGCGCTCCCCTATGAATAACTCAAAACCAGAGGCAAAATTACAGAGTTGAAAAAGGTAAGGGCCGAAGAGAGAAAATTAAGAGAAAAAAGATTAGCTATCTCCGACCTCTGAGTGCTAAAAAGATCAACTAAACTTGTGAAACAAATTAGAAATTCAACAGAAAAAATGAAAATTTGAACTTTTGATGATTTAGCAAACCAAACTTGGCATAAAGAGAGTTCATATGCCACAATCAGCACATGGAGGAGAACATAGAAGAGCAGAGCTTACTTACTTTCAACTACGGCCAGAGCTTTGGAGTCATCAGGAGGAGGAACGACAGCTTTCTCTTGGACAACAGGTTTGGAGGGCTCAACTGGAGGCGGAGGAGGCGGCGCTTCCACTTCCACTAGCTTCTTCAGTTCCTCTGCCATAATTCAGGTGGAGAAAATGGAAAAAGGATGAATTACAGAAATTACTATTTTTGGCAAGATCTTTCGCCCCCACTCACGTAACCATTGTCTTCCCCCCACCTCCGCACTTACTTATATACTATACTACCATATGGACATGTGGCTCCACGCGTGACGTTGATCTGATTTTTGAAAGTGCTTAATCAACGTATATGTTTGTGATTGTGTTTTGGACCGTTGTGATCCAACGGCGTGATGATGATGATGATGATGGAGGTCGGTGGGTGAAAAAGGACAAGTGCCGACAGGTAAAGCGGTTGAAATGTCGGGATGAAGGGGGGAGAGATACGACGACGTAGAGTAGATATGGGCCCACATCATTCATTTCTTAATATGCCTATTTGGGGGGGGGGGCTCTAGGCCAAGGCTGGATACCAAAGTGACCACGTGATCGTGGGGTCCACAACCAAGACTGTTACAGTTGTAAGGACGTGGGTAATTGGCTGCACTGTCCAAGGAGTCAGATTTTTTTTTTTTGCTTAATTAAAAAATAATAATTTTGAAATATAAATTTTTATAAAATTAGTGTGTGTTAATTTTGATTTTTAAAAATAATTAAAATTTTAATTTATATTTAAAAAATAAAAT